AATTGGCCTTGAGGTTTACAAGCATGCCCTCTTTTCTAGCTTAGGAGAACCACAAATAACAGAGGAAACTGAGGCAAGGACGCCACACTCGGGCCTCAGCTGGTACTCGGGGCTGCACCCGTGTGTGTTGCGGAGCCTGACATTAGTGTGCTTGCAGAGGCTGCAATCCCCTCGGGAGCACTGCAGCCGATGTGCCACTGGGCATATGCTCAGGAACGCTCCTTTTTCCTTTCCAGCGTGCTGGGACATGTCCCCAGAGCTGAGTGCTAAGTCTATCCTGGAGCACTCTTCTTGCACATCTGAGGTGCTTGGTTTACCCATTTGTTGTAGAAATGCAACTTCTGTTGGTCTAGTGACTATTTACTGAGCCACTTAGTTTTGTAAACTTCTAGCTGGATCTTCCAGGCATACTTTAATTGTTAAATAAAAAAAGAAGTTCTCATTGAGCTGGCAGAATAAAGAAAGAATTGTTCCAAGGAGAAATGTATCTCGCTACAAATTTCATTTTGTAAAACATTCGGTTATTCTTTGTGGCCTCTAGAGCTCATAAGAAATGTAAAGATTTTCCTTTTTTCCCCTCTTTAACCAATAGCATTTGCTGCTGCTAATTCTGTTATTCAGGTTATTGACTGTCAGTAATTCCTACCTAGACCTGTTTCCTGAAGATCCTTCAAGAAAGGAATGTTAAGATATGAGGTCATCTGATGATGTGAATACGTGCTGCTTCTGAGTCCTGGTACACATTCAATTTTGTCTATTAACACATAACGCAGGAGGAGCAAACCTCTTACTTCCGTACCCAAGGTTATGGAATTTACCACTGTAAATTCTTGGCACATATAATAAAGTTGAAAAAATAAATCTTAATAAAGTGGGAAGCAAATGAGACTCCAACACAACAAGTGTAATGAATGACAGAAAATATGTCTCAATGTTAAATAACCCTTTTTCTTGCATCAGAGAACCGTACAAAGACAAAAAGGTTTGTTTGGTAATGTCATTATTTAAAAACCTGTTTAATGATCCCTTTTTGCTTTTGGGAAGAGTCACACAACTTTACACTGGGAAGCGCTGACTACTTTTGGAGGAGAGTGATTCTGACTCCCTCCCCGTCTCAGCTAGCATTTATTATTCTGCTTTCAGTCTGCTACCCCAGACACGTGCAGAAATCCTTAACGCGAAACTGGCTGCAGGTCTCCTGTCACTGCTTCTACTGCTCCTGAAGTGCCTGGCTGCTGCATCTTACGCAGGGTAGTTTGGGGTGTAGTGGGAGAGACAACGGAAATTTCCTCTGGGTCAGATTCCTGAAAAGAGACGGTCTGGCTTGCTCTGGCACACGAAGTGCTATCAGTTGGTCATCTTAACTATCCGGGCTCTGCCAACTGCTGAGGATTCAGGATTTGATGACAGTCTGGTGACTGCTATTCTCCAGCTGCAGTATGGTAGTCAGTTGGACAAAAGCAATTAACCACTAAGATTCAAAGCTTTTAAGGTATATTTTTAGTTTTCAGTCAGATGTGCCCTAAACCGTATCTCTAACCTCTCATCTATTACAGGTCGTAATAGTATAAACCCACTTGGGTCTCTGAAGTGCCATTTTCCACCAGCGGCTTTATGCAGATAGCGTGGAGGAAGATGACCAAACCCCTGAGCAGACAAAGCCCATTAGCACAGGATGCCTCAGTTTTAATAGATCAAAAATAACTCTTAAAAGTTGTAGCAGAGAATCTCACTCAGATGCCCCTCAAGCGTCAGATGTTACCTGGGCAATGGTCCAGCTCCTTTACATTTCAGGACCTCTACCTTGTGGAAACTGATTAGGGATCAATAACGCACTCTTAAAGGGAGTGCTCACTTTAAATAGATCTTTACTTGTTGACTTGCAGCTTCAGCGCGATAAGCTGTTAGGGTGTTCTACATATCTGACTCTCCTGTGTCTCTGCCACTCTACATCCCATACGCTTCTCTCTCTTTCTTAGCCCCTTCCTTCCAGATAATGGGTACATGTTTTTCCCCCCTGGTACCACTTGGGTTGCTTTTAGATAACTTAAGTGTACAAAGCAGAAGAACTACTTCCGAAAGGAGATGGCAGATGTACTCTTATCAGCTTCTCCAATTCTTTAATTCTGCTGATTCACTCTGCAATGCCTGATGCAGCATCGGGACCACTTCAACGTTCAGCTGCTACTGGATGGACAGGCAGGCAGAACCCCAATGTTGTCCAAAACGGGGTACCTTTTCTATGTTTCTTCCCAGCCTTTCCTACTATGGATGCACCAGCTTGAGAAGGGATCATCTCCTCCTCTGGGAATCGCACACCCACTGAATTACAATCGTACCAGGAAATTCTTGCCCCAGAGTACCCACTATATCCAGAGACTGTCTCAAATCTCCTTGGTTGCCTCTAGACTTTACTCGTTTCTCATTCTGATCGTAAGAGCCAGAGAACACAAGGTCAGAGCAGAGGAGCACAAGTGCAAGGCTAGGTCGTAGCTGGAAACATAGCCCCTTGACGGGAACCATCATCATTTGGAATTCCTTTAGGAAACAAAAAACTGCCCTCAGCTATCCTTCGCACAATTTTTAGGATTTAGGCTAAGGAGGTAAAAGACTAAACTGTAACACTGTGAAGCGTGTTTAATAAAGATACTCTCAGGTGCTTTGACACCGCTGGAGTTACTCACAAGCTGTGCAGACTGTGGCACTGTTGCTGAATACTGCAGACAATCTGCACGCTTGTTCTAGCTACCTTTTGCTAGCAATGCTCTCCCTGGACCTACATAAAGATATTAATAGCAATTAACCTCTCAGAAGTCTAGTGCTAATCTTAACTCAGGTTAGTGGCGAGCTTTGCCTTCTCACCCTACCGGTATTCCGCATGAATGGACTCTTACTAAACCTCATTTATTTTCATAGTAAACACAATTCTGGGAAAAGCTTTTCTATGCCCTCTGCTGGTTTTCCAAGGCACACGTTTTCAGCTTAGAGTTAACACTCTTCCTTTAAAATACCAGGAGGTTTCCATACCTCTTCTCCATTTTCTTCTGACTAAACTGCGGTAAGATATATAGGACAGAGTCATAGGTGCATACTACACAAATTGCCTCCTTCACCTTCCCTGTGACTTGCCTAGTGACTACCAATTTTCATTTTTGCTTACTTGCATTTCTTTCTGAACTAGACTGCTCAGGAAATTCAGGCAATCCCCATCTCTTCATAAGCAGCAGGCTTCTTTGAGCAAGTCTGCACAGAGAACAGGAGTTTCCTTTGGCTGCCCTTTCATGTTGAGGAGCGCAGCAGACCCCATGCACCTTCAGCCTGAACCTTATGGATCCAAAGTCATTTGTCATTGGATCAATTATCTCCCTGTATTTCTGCCTTCGCTGCCAGGACTCCTTTAACACCTACCTCTAAGACTTTAGCAACTGTACTGGGTTATGCCCAAGACTCTTCCAGGATAATTGTCCTGTCCTTAATGTAAGTTTTGGATATTCCACAAGTGTCTTCCACAAGCTCCAGACTGAATACCGCTCTGATGCTCACTGCTGACTTATACTGGTACTCAAAGCCAGTTCAGTAGGCTTCAAGTTAAGATTCTGGTTAAGAAGTCTAACCCTTCTATTTCTACGTTTTTGTGGCATTTCATTTTGCTCTATGTGTAAAGACAATCTAACTTGTCCATAAGCATAAGGCCCTTTGATAGTAACTTCAAAGAAAAAGACACGAGTAGTTCCCAAGGGCCAGATGCTGAGTCTTGACAAATACAAGTAGAATATACCCTTATATCCATACCCTAATTGCAAGCTGGGCCAGGTTATGAGCGTAACAAAGGATATGACGTCTTAAGATTCACATAGCTTGAGTCACATAGCTGAGACTCAATGTCTTACTTCTAACTTTGAGAGTAAAGCCCAATAACCCAGAGCAAACCCTCTAGAACAAATTCAAATGTGAGCTAGATGCAGCTATGGATACACAACGGCAGTAACTCTGCCTTGCCAGGAAAAAGGAGGTACTCCTTTATCAACCCAACTTTAGTTCAAGATTTTGGAAGTGAACACAGCCTTTCTTTAAATTTCTCTCTGCTTCAGTTTTCTCTTCACTCAAATCTGTACCTTTTTTAATGTATTAATTACTTGACTTATTAAATGCTGTGTCAAATCTATAGCCTGCATTACTGATCAAGTTCGTCTTCTCAGTAAAAGCAGGAACAGCAAAAAACTTCAAGGCGGCAGTACTTACTAAAAAAGGAAAAAAAAACCCCAAAACCCCCCCACCACGGACAAATCCACAAAACAAAAATACATACTATGCACCTCCATTGTGAAATGATCACTTTCCTAAGGGTCCCACAAATACACCACACTTTCAGAAGTGCTGATATGCCAACAGCACTACTTTTTCTGAACTTACTTCTTAGGGAGACTTCAGTGGATAATTTGAAGAGGTCAAAATACAGCGTTAACTGACAAAGTCGCCCCCTACCATATTATGGTGATATTATGCACACACCATTCACGGGAGAGCAAGAAAACTTACATTAAGATCATGCCAGTGAACGCCACTACTAGGGAATCCAGAGTAATCCTAAAGCGCAGAAGCGCGACTTGCCTGTAACCGGCTGCAGGTGCCTTCACAATCAATGGACAGGCAAACAAATAGCAATTTTCCAGTGGCATACACTCGGAGTGTCCAGCACACTACCGCTCGGGGCTTCATGAGCTAGCCTACACCTTTGTGTCTAAGTGCCCACCTCCTTACATGAAGGTCAGAAGAACCGGCAAGGTCACGGAAGCTTTTAACATCTACACCACCAGGACCAACGCTAGCGCTGCTGCCTCAGCTCTTTAACAAGCAGGCTTCCTCTACACCTGCCTGTAACAGTTCACCTGCTTAAGTGGGAGAGCGTGCCTCCATTCTAGCCAATACAAGTCTTGGGTCACTTTCCTTCAGCAAGACCATACAAAACACCAGTACTCAATGGGAACAACAAAAGCTGTCATCAATAGTAACTTCAGAGTTTTAATCAGGAAATCTTTAACAGATCGTCAGAAATGTTGATTGACATTCATCTAAGTGTTATGGTAATTTTGAGCAGTTTTTAGGTAATGAAAATTCATTAAATTCAACATAAAACAACTGCACTGTAAATTATTAATCCAGCCCTGAGCTGGAGCATTAAGCAAGTGCAGTCAACTTCTGAGGACAATGTTAATCCTGGAGTTATGTTTTCCATCAGTGCATTTCTTCAGTTATCGCTTAACCTTCCCAGAATCTCTGCTCTCAAATTTTCACCTCAATAGTGCCAGCTAGAAGTCCAAAACACCCAGCTAACTTATGTCTGGCACCACAAGTGAAAACCTTCGATACACTCTATCTCAGGCTCTTACATCTAGGATCTTCTCTTGGCCTCAACCATTTTGCAGAATTGGAAACGGAAGATATTCAGACAAATGACAATGTCAACTGCCCCACAGAAATGGATTGCACAAAGATGGGCAGCAGGACTATGCATGCATCTTTACTCATAGCCATGACTACTTTGCCACATATTCCATTTAAGGTATTTTATTTTTTAAGTTAGGCCAACCATCATTTCACTGGAAGCGACAAGCTCCCTGTTCTTCTTCTCACAGACGGGAAGGCACACCAGCATACACATCCCCTTTTGATAGGTACCAAGTCCATTTTAGTAACAGAATCCTCGACACAGAAACCATGAAATCCCCCTTCCCAAAACCAGTTGCATGCAGCTCTCTTGGGGACTCAGAATCTGACTTGCGCCCGGAAATGCATCTGCTTTGTAGCATTGTTACTCATTCCTGTCTTGAGCATCCACTTTGACTTCATCCTCTGCAGGTACTGCATATCACGCTGCTGAGCAAAGACTGCCCCTTCAGGGAGAGAGGAGGAAGAGAAAGAGGGATAAATGTCTGTAAGCTTGCTTACTACTTACTTGCAAACCAGCTAATCTGTCCATTTACATCAGCAGTTAGCTATACGTTTTCCGTCCCATACTGGCACACTTTCCACTTTTCTCTTGGGAAAGGCCAGTTCCCTCTATGAATACCCATGACCGTGATTAAGGGAAAAGGTTGTTTTGCATTCCGATGTGCGATTCTTTTATTTCAAAAGTGGAGATAGATCACATCGCTGCTCCCCAACTGGAAAAGTATTCTAACTGTCAAAGAATGGTTTATGTTACATTATTAAATAGCAAGAGTAGTGGTTTTGACATGCAGAAACCAACAAACCTTAGGAAGTCGCCAAATATCACAAACACGCATGCTGATGAACTGAAGGGCTTGCACAGAAGCTGCAATGGATTTTAGACACAAACAACTTCCTGTAACTTATTCTGCTTGGATGTCAGGAATGAAAGGGAACCGAGTGGAAGACAAACTACTGCATAAAACCCCACAAATGTGAAACAAACTCAACCCATTTAATTGTAGAGTGAGGACATACTCCTCCTGTGCAAAAACCTCACATTGTCACTTACCTGTCTGACTTGTCCAGCCCAAAGCTCTGTACTGCTGCAACACCCGACCCACTGCTTTCTTATTTTTCACAACAGCCACCGTTCTTGGCAGACCAAACCGTTGCTTGTAGTATCTCATTAAAGAACGATGACCCACTCTTGCACCTATTCAGAGGAGGAGACATCTTATTATGCATAATGAAGCAGCTTCTGAAATGCAGTATTCAAGCATATTGTGAAACTGTGGAAAATCCCTATGCTGAGAAATGCTTTTAAAAGGCCCAGAACCTTAAAAACTTTAGGACTATTAGGAAGTCAATGTAATTACTGTAAGAGCTGCTGTACAGCACTCTACCTTAAAGAAAAAAAACCCAAAGAGTGGTGCTGTTCAAGAGGGCCTTAGCTCAGATAACAAACTGGCAGTTATCAGAAGAGACTATTTTAATTAGGGGAATGAGCAGAGATGCAATGCTGTTTCAAATAACCAGGGAAGTAATTTGCTGACATTCAGGAAATCTTCTGTAACCGCACAGTTGGCAGCACTTTTCAGAATGAAAGGGCTGAGGTCCCCCCATACAAAAACCACCAAAACAAACAAAAAAATGCAAGCAAGAGTGCCAAATGCTATACAAGCTATACAAGGCAAGAGTAAGGTTGTTTAAATAAATTAGTTTTACTGAACTAGTTTACTAAATTAGTCACCAGCTGCCTCTCTGCAAAAAAACTACACTAGATAACCTAAGTTATAGCTTCTCCAAGTTGCACTAAAACAAGATATGGAAGCTCTTGGGGTGTACCATGAGTCACATGTTCATGAACAGTTAAAGTGGGCAAAGGAACCTCCTGCCCCAGTCCACACACACATGCTGAAGAAGTTGAACTACTTGGTAGTGAAAATAATGGAAGGTGAGGACAAAACCCCAAAGACACTTAGATGTAAAATTACTTTCTCCCTTGCCAAAGGAAAACATGTCGACGACCTATGCCGCAGGTAACGGCTGCAGCTACAAGAAATGCAGAGAAAGTACGTTGTAACACAAGTCCTATGCCTACCTGAAGGAAGGATCAGCTCCATGGTGTCATCATCATAATCCAACTCTTTCTCTGCTGGGCGCTCTCCAGGCACCTCCACATCTTCCCCATCCTCGTGATCAGGGTAACTGCTCCTGTGGAAGAGTAGTGGTATGTGGTTTATACATGGTGAGCAGCCACAGCTATCCAGATCCATTACACAAAAGAACTGCCATGCACAGCTACAGCAAGCCACAAACATTGTCACCTTTCACCTACCTTCATTTGAGAGTTCTTCCCAGTAGCACCCTGCCCTGAACAGAGGCTGAAGAGAAGGACCACCCTTCCCCCACCTGGTTCTGTAACTCAGCACGGTTCTGCTGCTGCACGCTTAACCGCGACTTATGGTGAAAAGCCACCACTGTGCAGCCCACCAGCTCTGCACAGCTACTGAACGAGCACTCCAAGAAGCTCCACTAAATCCACCTGCCACCATAATAGGAGGTATTTCTGACCAAAATGAACATAGCTTAGGATGTTACAGGAAGTTCAACAAGAGACCTCTAAATCACAGAAGTCCTGTTTAACTCCAGCTACTTAAAAAAGAAATCCACAGTCGGTATTAAGCCCACAGTCTGCCTAAAAGGTAATGGAAGTGACAGTTATGCCCTTTTATGGTCTTTGCTGGTGCACTGAAATCTAAACTCAGTAACAGCAAACATACAAAACAGAATTCAAAATATATTTTCACGTAGGACTGGTATTAGGGATCACAGGAGAGGAGAACCAATCATGTTGTTATGCTAATCTAGAGAAGTGGTGAACCAGCTATGCAAAATAAGCATCAGAACCAGAAACAGGACTAAATCTTAAGAATGAATAGTAGTTTCTGATGTAATATTCAACTGTCCTTTTGTCTGTCCCCATCTGTGCCCCACTCAAAGAAAAGCGTCCTCACCTGAAATCATAGAAGTCTGCAAATTCCAGGGCGGCATCTCCATCTGTGAAGAGTTTGCAGTGGCTTTTATCATTCATGTGAGCCTGTACTGCTTCTGTAGAGTAGAAGGATTTCCCTTTTTCATTGCACCAGATGCAGATTTTCCCAACTCCAACCTTCTCTCCTGCAGAGAACATTGACACTCCCTAGTAAGTAACATTTCTGTGATGTAGGCTTCCCAGCTGGCAGGCAGAGAGACTGAGGAAGAGCCTTGAGCCCTTCATTTCCAGAAAAGCCCTGCTGTTCCTATGCCTTGACCATATGGCTCCATCAGGGACAAGCCTGTGCATTTAAAGATTTCATGTGACAAGGCATGGATCATTATGTATTCTCAATAATAAATTTCACACTTCCAATACAGTTTTCTATTTGATACACCAAAATTATTTTATTCTCATCATTATTTGTAGACTTCAAGGAAGATACATTTTTTCCAGCTTTTAGCCCTCACAAGTAGGCAAATACTTGCTATTCATTAGTAGGATAAGACAGTTCATACACACACTTTAGCAGTAGAGTTTTGTCCTAAATTTCATGTTAGCTGAACAACTTTCTCAACACTAGAAAACCACGTGAGACCTGCAGGGTACATGACCACATGTTTGCTCAGTGGGGTTTTCTCTCACTCTCTCCGGAAAGCCTGTGGTCCTGTTCACAATCAAAATACTGAACTAGACAGCACTCGGATTTTACACAAAAAAACCCCAAAACATTTTAAGCCATATCCAAGTGAAAATAAGCAATAAAGTATATAAGTATCCTGATCAAAAATCAGAGAACATTTACAGGCGTACCCAGGTACTTGATCAGTCCTCTGAGATCCACAAGGTACTCTATGTCTGGAATGAAGAAACTGTGAGCTTTTGTCATATGTGCCACATTTTTCGTGAGAGATCTTGAATGGTGGGGACAGAACAAGCAGTCCGTGACTGGTATGGCCCCAACAGGAGGAGTGCTTTCAGCTTCTGCCTGCTCCTCCTCTTCTTCTCCCACACTCTCCATCTCTTCTTCAGAGCTGATGTCTTCATCAGAATCCATATCTTCCCAGTCTTTTAAAGGAAGTTTAAAAAAAAAAAAATTATTTATACGATTACTTCTCCCAAGCAAAACAAGTCCCAATTGAGTTAGAAAAAGTTATCATAGAAAATATTGTATTTTCTATTCTTACAGCTAAGTGCCACACGGTCACTTCCAGGTACAAGAATATACCATTGCCAGTAAAAAACACATTTCTTTGTAAGATGTACAGCAAGGCTCAAGTCTGCTCGTAAAAAAGCTGGCAGATAAGATATTTTTTTCCCCTCCATTTGCTCAACTATTAACACTTTATTGCTGTTTCGAAGCCTTAAATTTAATTCACCACAGCACAAGAACACATGCATGGCTCATTAAAAACAATACAACTCTGTCAGAATCATGAAAATACTCATTTCCAGCAGTGACTCAGCAGTGAGGGAGAACACACTCCTGTTCACACATAGATCTAACAAGAGAAGAACAAAGCCAGCTGTCACAGATACACTACGTTAACATTATGTGTTACTATACACCAAGATATACTAACAGTTTTACACATTTGAAAGATTACTGCAGAGCTCATTAACGGATAGACGAACCGGCAATCTGATTATACTGCTAGAGGCGTCAAGAAATCTTTTTCAAGGGGTTCAGATCTGGGGCAGTGAGCATTTCCCAGTACTCTATTCCTACTGGTCCCCTTCCAACTGCCATGCGCACAGAGTGTTTGAGAACAGGGAACACGGTGCTCCCCAGTGTTGTAGGCTGCTAATTAGAGATCTTTACTACAGGATAGAGTTTAATAATTTTAAAAGCCTGACACTGAATTAACAGGACTTGTAGGAACCATTCCTGGACAAACACTTGAAAGGAAAATTAACATTCAGAAACTACTGAGATTTTAGCATTACAACTTATGACTAACACATTAATACCAAACAGGTGCAAGTTGGCTCCTTCTTCAGATGTTAAGATGCATGTTCAGAGGTATCCGTTTCTTCTCCTGTAGAACAGATTCCCTGAATTGCAACTAAATTCACCAGCATAAAACTGCTGTAACAGACGTAATAACATGACACAATGGTTTCAGTAATGAAGCTGGCATAGTATGGTCCCACTTCATTCATACCTGTCCCCTTGCTGCAGTTTAATCACCCCATTCAACTCCTCCAATAGGTGCATTTGGAGCTGCACTGTAAACTACAGCACTGGAAGTGTCCAGGTTAAAAATAACCCTTTTCTGGGAATTCTGAAGCTCTGACCTTTCCAGTTGTCAACTTTCCAGGCTGACCTCCAGCAAAGAGCTGTATCTACACAAGCGGTGAAGGTGAAGCAGCAGGAACGAGCAGCTGGGGTGGCAAATCTTAAACCAATTTTAATACAGATGCCAACATGCTGAGATGCTATGCCACACAGTGTCAGGCTAAGGAGCAAGCATTCTACTCTGGTCTTGATGGGCAAAGAAAAAACAAAACCAACCGCAGTCCCACCTCCCTTCAACAGATCAGTAAAGCGATTGATGGGACAACAGCAAATGATCACGATTGGATTTTTGTTCATCTGTTTTTCAGAAGTAGTTTTAGGGTAACCTTTTATGTTAGCCTTCCTTAAAGGAAAATTCCCCTGGAGTTTTATGTGGGAAATAGTGCTCATATTAGTAACTGTTTATATTCAACCTTCACACGCATTAGTATCTTGCGCAGCTGGCAGTTCAGACGCTAACGCAGAATCCTTGACTGCAAGCATGGGCCAACCTTAATTCCTTTGTTAAGCTGAAAATTTAATCAACAGGAAGACCTTTTGTGACGGAAAATGCTGTACTACTACAGAAATAGAAGGAGGCTTTTCCACAAAACCGACAACTACATAGCTTACCCCAAGCTACCTCTCATCAGTATGTTTACTGCCTTACCTTCTTCCACACCCTCTTCCTCCTCTGCTTGTTGTTTGGCCAGCTTCTTTGCTTGCTGTTCAAACCACTGTAGCCGTGGAGGTTTTTCTGATCGTTCTCTACTCTGTGATAAGCTGGTGCTTCCTGTAGAAACCAGAGAGCTACTTGCATTACTAGGAGGTAAAGGTGTCTTCTTCGGAGACGAAGACGGCTGAGCTCTGATGGCTTGCTGAATAGCTGTGTTCATTTCATCTTTGTTTACGCTCTCTGGGGCCAGCCCCTTTTCCAGGTTCTTTTCATTTAATATTTTCACCTTCTTGCTGACAGCTTGAACAGCTTTCTTCTCCAACTCCAGGTGCTTCTTGGACTTCAAGTGATTCTCGTAGGCATTGAAGGTGGAGAATCTCTTGCTGCAAACTGTGCAGTAAGTGGCAGTGATTTTGTTCTGCTCCTCTGCTACTGCCCTCTGCGCTAGGACTCTCTCTTGGAAATTCTCAGCAGTGACAGGAGGCATGTCAGCAACCTTACGCTTCAGGTTGTATCTATGCCAGTCAGTTTTGTAATGGGCACGCTGAATGTCAGCATCCTTGAAAGCCACACGGCAAGTGATACAAGTGTAGGTTGCCATTACTAGAAAATGGGGGGGAAAAAAAAAATCATGCTAACAAAGATAAGTAACAGCCACAAAAAACCCCAAGTGCAACATCCTGACAGCACCCATGTAAGGCAGCGTAAGACATACAGTTCTTGTACAGAATTAAGTTTATTAAACACCAGCATTAGCAAACAGCATGTTATGTACTAGAAGGAGCAAAAGAAGAAAAAAATAAAAGACTTAGATACGGTTATCAGAGATTACTCGTAACACAGCAGCATCTGAGCATCCCAGCTCTGGACCCAGCACCCACTGTGCTTGTCAGGGCTCGGGCACAGACCGAGAGGGTTCCCAGCCCCAGCAGCAGTGCTTCGAAAGCTCTGCACTTTTTACTGAAAATCAGAAGCTGAAGGTTCCTATCAAGCTCGTGTTCTGCCAACTATAGGCTTCTGAGGAAACTAGTGATTGCTCCAAAATAAGGGTACAAAAGGGAAAACCTGCTTTCACGCCTATTTTCTGTTTTCCACAGCCTTATCAAATGGGAAAAAAAAAGTTACCGCATTTAAAAATAAAACCCTCTCAGCTATTTTGGAGCAGTGCATGTACTGCCAACAGCACTTTACCCTGCAGAACTGTTAATCCGGAGATGCAGTCAGTCATGTCTAGATCTAGCGCTTGAAGCCACTGGTACCCCCGGTCTTCCTCCACTTCCCACCATCCAGCTGAGCCGCACTACCGGGGCTGTCACAGGACAACTGGAGGGCAGTGACCTGTAACTGGTGCTGTCCTTTCCAAAGCCACGCATTTCCGTCCTTTGCAGTGCTTAATGAAACCTAACTTTTTTTTGAACAAAGCTGATGGAATCTTTTGAACACTCCAAAAGCAAAGAGCAAAAAAGCGTGTTCTAACTGGAGGTCACTAAAGCCACCCCCATCTTTTAACTGATTTAGAAAAAACTATGGTTTAATCTGAAAAAAAAAAAAGAAATAATACATCAGGAGGAGGGAATCTGAAAGCAGGTAGAGTAACAGCAGCTCCACCCAGAAGTTACCAACAGGGAGAAGCAGCAGTGAAAGACACAAACGTGCAGAGTTGAAAGGTACTTTACGAAACGCTCCTTCCCTGGAAGAACTGAACTCCTAATTTACTGCTTGCACTATCTGTAATCCTAGTGACAGAAAATACATTAACACAAAATAAAGGCCATACTATTTTATTTGAAATACTGTTAAGTATCCATTCAGTGTAACAGATGCTTTTTGTTTCAGAGGAAAATGTATTCTCTGCCCATCGAGGGACCCCACTCGCTCTCTGAAGCATTTCCCTCCCACCCGCAGAGCTCCCTATCCCTTTACTAGCCCAAGCAGGTATTTTACTGCCATCAACCAACTGATGCGGAATCACGTTTGCTGTTAATCACAAACTCCTCGCAGAAACCTCCGGGACAGAACAGTTTGATCCGGTCTATTACAGGCAACCAGTAGCTGCACACTAGATTACCCTGGGGGTGATTAAAAAAACCCCCCAAAACAGATCAGAAGAAGAAGTATCTAACCGAGAAGATCTAAACCCATAAACCTTCATATCTGACTGCCAAGTGGAGAAATAACGTTTACAATTCAAGCTGCATAAAGCAAAAAAGGCACCTGCAGAATCCCGTGTAGTTACGCCAGCACTTCCCATCGCCCACGCGCATTTCACCACCATTTTAACCCACGAAAGCAAAGCACAGAATCTTCCCCCGCACAGGGCTCAGGAAAACAAAACCTGAGGCACTCACAAGCCTTCAGCCCAAGGCACAGCCGAGTCCTTCGAGACAAATCTGGTTCTCCCCACAGGGTCTTTATTACGGCTGATCTTAGCTGCTTTTATTTGAATTTAAATTGAGCCGGTGTCCATAAGACCGACACAAGACAGAACGGCCTGACTGACAGGCAGGTGCTTATTATACGGACACCAGAACTGAAA